CATCTCCCTCCCGACAAACAATGGATCCAAGCACCCGAGACCACAGTCCCTCATTGATGATCGCCAGAGTCCACTATCCCCAAACAGCGTTTTTTAAGCCAAGCTGGCTCTTAATAGTGTTCGCGCGTCCTCCTGCTCCTGATCCGCCTGCGCCTTCGTCGTCGTCGTCGTCGTCGTCGCGTCGTCGTCGTCGTTTTCTTTCGCACCCACACAGTTCTCCTTTTCGCCCTTGCCCGTCCCTTTCCACTACACTTCCCCCTCATCCCCCTTCTTTTCTTCCTCCCGCTCCTCCTCCTCCTCGTCATCCTCATCATGCTGATCCTCCTGGTCCTCCTTCCCCTCCTCCTCTTCGTCCTAGTCCTTCTCCCCCTCCTCCTCCTCCTCCTCCTCCTCATACGGATCCTCCTCATCCTCCTGGTGCGATTCCTCCTAGTTGTTTTCCTCCTACCCCTCCTCTTCATTATTTACCTCCTCATTGCATGTCTCTTTCTCTTTTTCCTCCTGCTCCTCCTTCTGCTCGCCGTGCTCCTCCTTGTGTTCTTAATACGCCTCCACGTGTTCCTCGTCCTCCTCCGCTTCGCAATGCTCCTCCTCCTCCTCCTGGCAATGCTCCTCCTCCTCCTCCTTGTCCTCGCATTCCTCCTTCTCCCCCTCCTGCTCGCCCTCCACGTCCTTGTCCTTCTCCTCCATTTCTTGCCATCATAAATAACTCCTCCCTGTCGCACCCCGAGGCTGGTCGAAAAGGCGGGCCGGGCGTTTCGCATGATTCTTCTTCACCATTCATGATCCTGGAGCTTCAGTTCAGGATTGGCAGCGGTTTCATAGATGGAGGGCGGGTCGCTCCCAAAATGAGGCTCTTGCTTCAGCGCCGCGCGCATTCGTTGCAAAGAACTGTAGTTTAACGGATTGAAGGCGGGCCGGTTTCAAAATGTGGCTCTCGCCTTAGCGCCGCGCGAATGTGTTCTAACTAACTGCAAGAGTTTAACAAGTTGAGGGCGGCTCCTTTTCAAAATGTGGCTCTCGCCTCAACGCCACGCACATTCGCTTACCAAAATTGCACGAGTTTCACGGCTTCGCATGGTTAGCGTACCAGACACGGTGTTTTTGAGCGATCTAGGAACGTAAAGACGCAACAGTCAAGTTCATTCGTGGCGTTGGAGCCCCGAGAATGTTGTTTCGGCACACTTCAGGATCTGCAAACGGTTGTCTCCCAACGGGGCACCTCCCTCAGTGGAAATGCATCCTTGTAGGGGCCTGTGAAGAGGGAACTTGGCGGGAGGATTTTCTCCAACATCGTTGATGAGTCTTGGGTTTGCACTCCTCCTCCTCCTCCTCTTCCCTCCGCTTCTCGGTCGCTGCTCCCAGGAGGCACCCTCGTCAGGGATGTCCTCAAAGAGGTAGCGTCTGTGCCTGGTCCCGTCTCCGTCCTCGCCGCGCGCTCGATTTGCCCCAACATGGCTCTCCCCAGACCAGCCCTTGCAATTTACAAGAGAATCGTGCTCGCTCGGCGCCGGCTACCTCCTCCGTCGGGCCAGGGGCGCCCAGACCTGTCCCAGACCACAATTCGACAACAGAAGCGTCATTGAATGGTTCGCGTCGCACAAACTGTTTTGACATAAGCTTGTTCGGTGACCCCTCGTATGGATCCGCCCCCAGATGGCTTGATCCGAATATCATCGCCTTGTTGACCGACGCCTCGCTCGTCGCCCCAAGGGGTTGCATAATCAATGCTGCTTTCGCTTGGGCAGGGAGGCGGGGTGGTGGTGGTGGTCACCGCATAAGGGAAACAAGTCCCGAGCAGAGCAACACGCACCTCGACCACGACGACGCCGACGACAACGACGACGACGACGGAGACGAGGCGCGCAGACGATCCGCACCGAAGCACGGATTTGGGAAAGGGCCCACCCTGCAGGTTCGGTTAAACAGCACATCGTTGAATGGTGCTGCAGCCTCCCCTGAGCACAGGCCCCCCCAGAGCATCAGCCAGACAAGTCGGGTTTGCACCCTCATGCCTTGCTGGACTCTGGGCGGGTTTCGGCACCCTCTCCCCCTACCTCGTCAGGACCACCGACAAGGGAGAGGGCGGCGGTGGCCGACGCGCCCCTGAGCCAAGAAGCTCAAAGCGCCGCGGCTCAGAGAGCCGGGAAGACAGACAGACAGACGAACGGACGGACAAGCGGACAAACGGGGGGGGGGTAGGACAGAGGATGTCCCAGTTTCTGGGCCCTTTGAACTTTTCCTGGGCCCGCTGCGCGGGCGGAGTAGAGGGCCGCTCCGAGGGTAGGCGGAACGAAACAGGGAGGGGCAGGGAGAGTATCTATTTTCCTTTCCAAGAGTTTGTAATTGACATTTCGAGCCAGACGGGCCAGACCATCTTGCGCACATTTTCTCAGAGCTCAGAGTTGCAAGGATCAGGCGAAACGAGCTGGATCACCTCTCGTGCAGCATCTCGGAGCTCCGGGGCGCGGGGATGTCTCAAGCGAAATGCGCCAGACCACCTCTCGCGCGGCAGCTCGGAGCTCAGAATTGCGAGGATGTCTCAGGCGAAACGTGCCAGACCACCTCGCGCGCGGCAGTTCGGAGCGAAGGGTTGCGAGGATGTCTCAGGCGAAACGCGCCGAGCCACCTCTAGCGCTGCAGCTCGGAGCCCCGAGTTGCGAGGATGTCTCAAGCGAAGCGTGCCCACCAGCTCTCGCGCGGCAGCTCCGAACTCAGAATTGAACGGATGTCTCGAGCGGAACGCCCAATCCTGGCCAACTCAGAAGCGAGAGTTGTGGGGATGCCTCAGGCGAAACGGTCCAGAAAACCACCTTTGTTGAGGATGTCTCTGGGCGGGCGTCCTCGACCGGAACTAGGTACGATCACAACAGCACACCGTTCAGCAAGCTGTTTGGGGGACGGCTCATGCAGGCAACCAAGGACACCCAAATGTCTCATGATGCCTCGGCGACAGTCCAAGATGGTCTCAAGGCGGTCCATCTTGGGCTCAAGAAGGCCCAATCTGCCTCCAAGAGGGCCCGAAAGCCCCACAAGAGGACCTCCAGCAGGGTCCGAAGAAACTGCACTCATTGATTTCCCTTGGGTTCTTGAATGATTTTCGCATTATCGCCTTGTCGGGCTTCCGCCAGCTCAAGACGACCGAAGAAGCCATCCACGATGGCCCCAAGACCGCCCAAACGGCCCCGAAAAAGGTCACGAGATTGCCCAAGAGGTCCCCCGATGGCCCAAAATGCATCCAAGACGGCCCCAAGACTGCCCAAGATGGCCTCCCGTGGGACCCAAGACGACCTAGCTCCTCAAATAGTGAAGACGAAAACTGTCACATGTGACGGTCTTTCTCTTCCTCTTCCTCCTCCTCATTACCGTCACTACCGTCACCATCGTCATCCTCGTCTTCATTTTCATCCTCATCCTCACCCTCATCCTCCTCGTCCTCATCACCCTCATCCTTAGTTATCCTAATCCTGCTCCTCCTCATCATCACGGCTCTCCCAACCCTGGAGATACGAAGTGTCAGAAGTGACGGCCTCCCATGCCGCCGCAAACAGTCGCCACCCAGAAGGCTGGGCGGGTACTGTGGCGGGACTTGCCGCAGGCAGCTGGATCAAGAATGCTTGCTTGTCTTCTGAAGAGGGGACCTGGGACGAGAAGGTGTAATGCAGCATCGGTCATGCATCCTGGATCTGCTCATGTCCGCCTCCTTCTCCTCCTCTTCTTTCCTCTCCTCTTCCTCCTCCTTCTCCTCCTCGCTCAATCTGTGGCCCCGGCACCACACCCGTCTCATGTCTGGCGTCCACTTGGGCCAGGCGCGTCGGCCAGAAATCCCAAGCCCGCCTCTCCTCATCCTCCCGCTCTTCTTCTCCTCCTCCTCCTCCTGCTCCTCCTCCTCCTCCTCCTCCTGTTCCTCCGTCTCCTCCTCCCAACCAGCCGTGGCGGAGCCTCGGACTCGGGCGTGCAGTCCGCGCCGCACTGGGCGACCGGTGGCACACGCGCCGACCAGTGCGCCTTGAAGGCACGGCGTGGCATGGATGGAGCAGGGGGAAGAGGAGGAGGGGGGGGGGGGAGAAGGACTTGGGGAAAAGGGGAGAGGAGGAGGAGGAGGAGGAGGAGGAGGAGGAGGAGGAGGAGGAGGAGGAGGAGGAGGAGGAGGAGGAGGAAGAGGAGGAGGAGGGGGACTAGTGTAAACCCACGACTCATCAACGATGTTGGAGTAAACCCTTCCTCCAAGCTCCCTGTTTCATAGGCCGCTACAGAGATTCATTTCCACTGAAGCAAGTGCGCCTTTGGAAGACAACCGGTTGAACATCCTGAAGCGTGCCAAAACACCTTTTTCGGGACTCCAACGCCAGGAGTCAACCTGACTGTTGCGTCTTGACGTTCCTGAATCGTGCCGAAACGCCGTTCCTGGGATCAAACATGATCAAACACACGAATCAACCTAACTGTTGCGCTTTGACAATCCTGAACCGTTCCATAAAACACCAATTATGGTACGAGAACCATGGGAATCCGTGAACCTCTGGCAAATTCAAACAACGACTGCGCGCGGCGCTAAAAACAACAACCACATTTTGAACAAAACACACGATTGAACCACGAACCCGGAAAGGAATCTAGAAATGTAAGGCATGGTAAACTTTCAAATGCACCTGCTTGGGCGACAGGCAAATGCAATGCTGAATGCATCGATCTTGATGTACTGTGCCGAGGGCTGTGTTGTGCTGTGAGTGACCGAACTGATTTTGGATCTTAAGCTCGAGCTGCCTGAGCACTGAGCACATAGTAGCTGCCACAAATCTAATCGACAGGGGGACATGCCAAGAGGACGCGCCGCGGAACGTCTCAAGGGACGCGCCAAGCGAGCTGCCAAGGGACGTGCCATGGGGACGCACCGCGGGACGTGCCACGGGGACGCGCTACGGAACGTGCCAATGGACGTGCCACGGGACGTGCCAGGGGACGCGCCGCGCGACGTGTCAGGGGGACTCGCCACGGGACGCGCCAGGTTGCAAGATTGAGTGTATCGATCTTGATGTACCGTGCCGAAGGCTGTGCTGTGCTGCGCCGTGCTGACTTGCGATGTGCCATGCCGTGATTGTGTTCTACAACGTTGTGGATCGAGTCCTCCTTTGCATCCGAGTCCTGACCGAAATGATCTGGATCTTAAGCTCAAGCTACCTGAGCACATAGTAGCTGCTCCAAAGCTAACTGATAGGGGGACATGCCAAGAGGATGCGCCACGGAACGTCCTAAGGGACGCGCCAAGCGACGTGCCATGGTGACGCACCGCGGAACGTGGCAAGGGGACGCGCTACGGAACGTGCCAATGGACGTGCCATGGGACGTACCAAGGGACGCGCCGCGCGACGTGCCAAGGGGACTCGCCACGGAACCTCCCAAAGACCGTGCCAAATTGCAATATTGAGTGTATCGATCTTGATGTACCGTGTCGAAGGCTGTGCGGGGGCCTCCTGGGGCGTTAAGAACCCATGTGTTATTGCGCTTCTCCCGCCCTGGGGCGTCAGGAACCTATGAGATTTCACGCTTGTCCCGCCCTGGGGCGTCAGGAGCCCATGTGTTTTCCCGCTTCTCCCGCCCTGGGGCGTCAAGAACCCATGTGTTTTCACGCTTGTCCCGCCCTGGGGTGTTAGGAACCTCTGTGCTTTCACGCTTCTCGGGCCTCCTGGGGCGTCCTGGGGGGCGGGGGAAAGCGAAAAACGCCCCCCGAATTCACACCTCACTACAGAATATACGCAGAACAAGCATTTGACCAGAGACATCCTCTGACCTGGGGCCCCCAGGAGAGGAACAATGCAGAACACACATTAAACGTGTCGTTCGAATCATCTTCAACAAATTCTGATAATCAAGCTCGGGACAACCATGCTAGATATCCCCCCTGGGTGGGCCGAGAAACTATTCCCATGGAGAAGCTCATCCTCACGACAATTGTACAATGCGTCCAGAATTTTCCCTGTTTTCCCTGTGCACGAAAAGCAGTCCCACATTGGCCATTGAGATCGATGCCGAGTACATGGCAGAAGAGTTGGACTCGCCAATGTGCTCACCATCGTGCATGTCGAGGCCGAGGACGACGAAAACTGGATGTCACGCGCGGCGAAGCGTGTCGGAGGAACCACTCTGGGCTGACCAAACAAGACTGCAGCTCGCACGAATATAGCAACCCTGGCAACATCACCTCCCTCTGGGCCAGGGGTTGCAGCTGCCCCCCCCAGGTTTTCCCAACCGTGGTAAAACCGCACCCGGCGTTCCTGAACAAACATTGTGTGAACACTGGCTTCCGCCAACCGTTAACTTGCATTCCCCCGGCCATAACCACTGAACGTCTCCAAAATGAATATGACATACAGCTCGTTTCCAGAGGAATCCTCGGAAAGAAGGACAACACTGACGTTGGGGTGATTCAAGCGCTGGGAAGTGTTGGACGCCTGCTCCCGCGCGCCGTCAAGCGTACTCTCAACCAAGCCGTGGACACAACCGTTTGGCCGCCTGCTCGAAAATGACCCCGGGCTTCCCCTTGGCCTCGTCACCTGAAATACCTTTGACACCGAAACATTGATCACGTCATCTTCGTTGTTCAGTGGGTACTGATGCCGCCCAAAGGAAAACAAGTACAGGAAGAAGTGACGTTGCTTCTGTGAGAGTCTGCTGGCCCGTCTGAACAGCCATGGGCATGGACTCCAGCTTGTTCTTGCGATCGACCAGATTCTCCGACTGAGAACTGGCCGCCGCGTCCTTGAGCAGCACCCGGGCGTGGAGTTCGAGGCTTCCACTTGCAGTGAAGGGGGCACGCGTGCAGGCAGATATCAACAAGGAAATCGGAATTGTTCGACATCCATTTGGACCTGCGTGTGCTGGAGGGTGATGTCCCGGCGTTTCGTGTGATGGATGGAGAGGAAAGCAGGGGGCGAGAGGAGGACCGGATCGGATCGGATTTCTTTGGTTCAACTTCTCGCTCGGCCCTGATCCAAACATGTGCTCTGCGGCAACTCTCCTGATTGGGCGGCTGTGTGAAATCAAATGCTGAATCTGGTCACATGAGCCTGTCGGCGAATGAGCATGAGGATGAGGGAAAGGATGAGAAGGAGGAGGGACGAGGGGGATAAACATGCTGGAGGATCTTGACGTCAAACTGCATCCGTTGGGCCTGCTGGAGCATGGGGGGCCCTCGTGGCCACGGCTGGCTGCGAGGCGAAAAAAAAATAGCCAGGACGATGTGCCCCAGAGGGGTCCTGGCCAAAGGCGGCCAAAATCCTCGTCCTCCCTTCCTCCCTTCCTCCCTTCCTCCTCCTCCTCCTCCTCCTCCTCCTCCCATCTCCTCGATCCTCCTTCTTTTACCTGCCTGCGGAGGAACAGCTCTATCCTCCTCCTCCTCCTCCTCCTCCTCCTCCTCCTCCTCCTCCTCCTACTCCTCCTCGTCCCTCCTCCTGCCTTCTCCTCCATCCCCCTTCCCTACTTTTCGATCCTGCTCGATTGCCCTCCTCCTCGTCCTCCTCCTCCTCCTCCTCGTCCTCCTCCTCCCCTCCTCCTCCTCCTCCTCCTCCTCCTCCTCCTCCTCCCCTCCGTCTCCTCATGCTGCTGCTGCTGCTGCTCCTCCTCCTCCTCCTCCACCTCCTCCCATCTCCTCGATCCTCCTTCTTTTGCCTGCCTGCGGAAGAAAAGCTCTATCCTCCTCCTCCTCCCCTCCTCCTCCTCCTCCTCCTTCGCCTCCTCCTCCTCCTCTCCTTCTCCTTCTCCTCCTCCTCCTCCTCCTCCTCCTCCTCCTCCTCCTCCTCTTCCTCTCCTTTCCTCCCTTCCCTCCTCCTCCTCATCCTGGCAGCAGGGCCCCGGAGACCCCGAATCGGGGGGGATCCTCGGACCGCTCGGCGCGCGGCGCGGGCCTTTTCTCGCAGGCCGCCGCCCGCCGGTCCCGCCCTGTGCTTGGCCGCGAACGCCGCGACGCCTCCGGGCTAGGTGCCAGACCGCCTGGAAGGTCTGGGAGGCTTGATTCCCGGCCGGATAGCCGCCCTGCTCCTCCAGTTCGGGCGGCAGTTCGGCGCCTGCCTCGCCAGCTCGAGGCGCCCGCAGGCTGCCGCCTCGCGGCGGCCAGAGGCTAGCAGTGCAGGGGGCGTCGCGGCGTCGGCGGGGAGCGCGACGAGGACCCCGAGGTCGCCCAGCGCAGCCAGCTCGATGAGGCCCAGCGCGTCGAGGTGCGCGTAGCCAGCCGCCGCCGCCCAGCGCCGGCGCCGGCGCCCGGCCTCCCCGGCGGGCCGCCGCTGCAGCGCGGCCAGCTCCCGCGAGCGCCCGGCGCCCGCCTCCGCCAGCAGCGTCGACGCTCCACGCAGCGCCCCCCCGCGGTCGTTGGCGCCAGCGCCGCCCGCGCCGCCGCTGCCCGGCTGCCTGGCCCGCCTGGCGAGTCGTCGTCCTGCTCAGCGACCGCGCTGCAGGCCCGCGGGCGCGCGCCTAGCTAGCGCGCGGGCGGCGCGCCACTGGCTCGACGCCGCCGGCCCTGCGGCGCACCGCCCCGCGCGCAGCGAAGCGAGCGCAGCGGAGCGCCTCGGCGTTGCCCCGCTGAAGCGTCGCCGCGAGGCTGTGGCGTGCCGCCGCGAGCGCCTCGGAGCCCCCGCGCGCCCAAGCGCGCAGGAGCGCCTGCGCCCCCTTTCCAGCGCGCCCGAGGGCCTCCAGCGCAAAAGCCGTCAGCGCTGGGCTTGAGTAGCGCGCGTGCTTGCGCCCCCCCCAGGCAGCGGCAGCGGCGCCGTTATAGGCGGCGCGGCCCCGGCCCGCCGGCGTGTTCGCGCCGAGAGAGGCGTCAGTAAACGCCACGCCGACGTAGGCAACGCCGACCGTGGTGTCTTTGAAGGCCACGTCGAGGCGAGCGGCCTCCACGGCGCCGTCGGGGCGCGCGCGGTCCCAGGCGGGCACGAATTGCTCCGTGGCTACGCCTGTCGTGCCGCGGGCGACGAGCCAGCGGGCGAGCCAATCCCGGACGCCGTTGTGGCGCTGGACCGTGCCGCCGCCGACGTGGCAGCCCAGGCAGTGCCCCACCGTCGGATCGGCCCCGCAGCGCGTGCCGTCCTCCCTCCACCGGCAGCAGGTGTCGCTGGCGGTCGCTGGCAAGGACAGCTGGAGGCGCAGCGCGAGGGCCGGGAGGACGTGCGCGTCCGCCAGCACGTGGTCCTCCGCAGTCGGCGGCTGGAGCCAGCTCCCCGCTGGCCGAGCGTAGCGGCGCTGCCCGTTCTGGTGGCAATGCGCCCAGGAACCGCTGCCAGCGCGCGTGCTGCTCCGGCGCCGCGAGGGCGTACCGTGCTTTAGCCTGGGGCTCCGCGGCGGCGCACAGCCAGGTCGCGCCGCGCACCTGGAGAGCGCGGCCCGCCCCCTCGGCCGCCCCCCACGCCGTCGGGCAGGCGCGCTGGAAAACCTCGAGGCTGGTCCCTCCTCTTCCTCCTCCTCCTCCTCCTCCTCCTCCTCCTCCTCATCTTTCGCTCGCTCGCTCGCTCGCTCGCTCCTCCTCCTCCTCCTCCTCCTCCTCCTCCTCCTCCTCCTCCTCTTCCTCCTCCTCCTCCTCCTCCTCTTCGCCTCCTGTTCGGATCGCGGCGCGCCTCCGCGTCGAGGCTGGGCTCCTGCCCGGCGCCGCCTCGGGCGCTGCTCTGGGCCCTGGCGCTGTTCTGCGCAGTGCGCCGCGAACTGCCAGGGACGGTGGGGGGGGGGCAGCAGGAGGGGAAGGATGAGAAGGGTGTGAGGAGGGGGAAGGGAGGGTGAAGGAAGGGGGAAGAGGGGGTGGGGGAGGAAGGGGGGGAGGAGGAGGGGGATGGGCAGGAGAAGGGGACGAGGATGAGAAAGGGAGGGAGGCCGCCGGGGAGAGGGACAAGGGGGAGGGGGTAGGGAGGGGGAGGAGAAGGGGAGGATGAGGAGGAGGAGGAGCTGCTCCATATCCTCCTCCTCTCCCTTATCCCTCTGGCGCTGTTCTGGGCGGTGCGCGCGAACTGCGGGGGAGAGCTGTCGGCGGCGTTGTTCGACGGCTTTCGACGGAAAGACGAAACCGTCTTCTCCTCTTTCGAATGGCTGCGGTGACTCTCGGATGCTCCAAAAGGCTTCCGAGGTACTCGGAGGTCGTCTTCGTCGGCTTCGTCGTCGTGATGGGCCGCTTCCTCCTTCCTCTTCCCTTCTCCTTGTCCTGCCTTCCCATTGCCGACTGGACCTCGGAATCGCATCGTGCTCGGCGCGATTGCACGCAGCAGCCCTCGGCCTTGCACTACTAAACTTCTTGAACTAACGCGCCCGGAAAGTCGACTCTGCAGTTGCGCCGGTCATCGAGAGCCCCACCTCTTCGTGCTGCAACTCCCAGGAAACTGTCCCGGTGTCCAACCCGTGCACGTGCACGACGCTGTATGCGCCAGGCTGGGCCAGTGTTCGCTTAAGATGTTGCCAGGAGCCCTGCCTGGGCTGGTTGCCTTGTATTCGTCGAAGCTCGAGGCGCCAGTCATGATGGCGTAGATCTCGTCAGAGTTGAATCTGGCCCCCACTTGCCAGCCCTCGCCCTCGCTTCCTTTGGTAGAGATATGTGTTCATATGCACATCTACTACGCTTTCACCGCATCGCAGACATGAAGGTGGAAGGCGTGTCCCCTCTGCAGATCGCCCGTAACGCCCCTCCAGCAACACCTGGAACTAAACAAAACACTGGGGTAGTCATCGACCCTGGCACAGCCGGGGAGAACAGAAACAGGAGCAGGACACCCCCCTGGAAGTCCTCTCTTGGCCTCGCGGGAGGTTCCCTGGACGCCATGTGGGCCTCCCTGGGAAAGCTGGTGTCACCCTCTGGGATAAGGCTACCTCTGGCAACACCCGACTCCCTCGTTGTCGTCGTCGTCGTCCTCCTCCTCGTCATCCTCCTCCTCCTCCTCACGTCTTCCTCGTCTTCGTCCTCGTCCCCCACCCCCCTCCTCCTCCTCCTCCTCCTTTTTATTTAGCGGCGAGTTGCGCAGCATGCTCGCGGTTCCAAGCTGGCAGCCGAAGGGCAAGGAAGAGAAAAAAGAGAGGACCCCGAGGGGAAACGGCCTCGATAAGTTCTCCTCCTCCTCCTCCTCCTCCTCCTCCTCTTTCTGTTTGGCGGCGAGTTGCGCAGCATACTCGCGGTTCCAAGCTGGCAGCCGAAAGGCAAGGATGAGAAAAAGGCGATGAGCCCGAGGGGAAACGGCCTCGATGGGGCCTCCTCCTCCTCCTCCTCCTCCTCCTCCTCCTCCTCCTCCTCCTCCTCCCTCTCCCCTAGTTCAGTCCAGCGAGCGCAGGGGAAGGGGGATAGGGTGAGCGCGGCACGCGCGAAAGAGGGAAAGAAAAAGGAGGGAGAGGAGGAGGGAGGGACGGAGGGAGTGAGGAGGGAAACGAAGGAAGGGGAAAGCTGAGGCGTGACGTCGTCGATCCACCCCTTCCTAGACTTCCGCCGCCGTGTTATTTTGTGCAATCGGGCCCCTGGACCTCTCGACCACTTCCCCGGGACCGGCCTCTCCCCTCGGGCCCGGCAAAGGCCACTGGAGGCCGAGACCAGCCAATAACCCGTCCGCCGTTTTTTCCCCACGACGCGAGGAGGCCGAGGACTCCTACCCTCGGCGGTTCGAGGAGGACGGGGCCCTGAGGACGAGCGGCCTCGAACAGTGAAGGTCCAGCCTGGGATCATCTCCTATCTTCAAGTGCCCCCTCGCTCAGGACCCCATCTTTGAACCGCCGATCCGTTTGGCTCTCCGCCACCCCCCCACCCCGCGCCTCAGAGAGCGCGAGCTGTAGGGCGCGCTGGGCCCCAGCCCAGCGTCGGGCCCTCCGCCGCGGGGGCCGAAAGCGGCGCGCGCGAAGCGGCCGCACTCCCACCTGGGGCGGCCGACGTCGGCGCGTGGAGGCGGCGGCGACGTCGCGACGGGCGGCTGACGACGGCGAGGCCGTCGACGGCGGCGGCGGCGGACGGCGGCGGCCGACGGCGGACGCGGAATGGCGACGACGACGGCGGCGGCGTCGTCCGCGGTCCGCCGCCGTCGCAATCGCCGTCTGTTCGGAGTCCTTCGGAGGCCCCTCGGGTGCCCTTTTGGCGGTGTTCGGAAGCCCTCCAAAGGCCCTCGGCTGCCTTCGGAGGCCCTCGGCAGCGGCGCGAAGGTGGGCGGCGGCACCGCCAGCGCCGCCGCCGCCGCCGCCGCGTCGTCGTCGTCGTCGTCGTCGTCGTCGTCGTCGTCGTCGTCGGCGTCGTCCTCGTCGTTGTCGTCGTCGTCGGCGGCGTCGTCCTCGTCGTCGTCGTCGTCGTCGTCGTAGCCGCCGTTGCCGTCGTCGTAGCCGCCGTTGCCGTCCTCCGCCGTCTACGAAAAATCGCACCAGAGTTTTTTGTTTCGCCTTGGAGCTCTAAGGGCCCGCTCTGAGAAGGGCCAGTCTCAGTCAGGGCCACGTCACGAACCTATGTGTACTTATGCCCAAAACGAAGTAGCTCCAAAAACAGGTTCAGCGGCGGGACAGGAGGGGTGGGTCGGCGCTATGTGCTTCCCAAATTTGCGTGAGCCAGAAGGGATCGGAAGACATTGACTGACCCCCCTGAGCGCTGACCCCCGCCACGAGCGCCCCGAAAACCGATCCAGGATGAACAACCGGTCAGACTGGACGCTGGGAGGGGTCCAAGGATTGGGTTTGAGCGGACTTCTGGGTGGAAGGGGCTGCTGTCAGCCGTCCGCTGTCGTCATCTCCGTCGTCGTCGTCGCCGCCGCCGCCGCCGCCGCCATTGTCTGACCATTATCGTCGTGGGAAGATGAGGCTGAGGAAGCCTCACCGCGCGCGCACGGGGCGGCGTGCGGAGTAGAGGTCAAGAGGAGGAGGAGGAGGAGAGGCTTCCAAAATGCTGCGGCCTCGCAATCCTCGGGTAACAAGGTACGCCTCGCCAACGTTCCGTTGTTTTGCAGTGGCCCGCGCCGCAGTTTACTCCTGCGTAGCTGCAGGAGCCAAGTATCGGCGGTGAGCGAAGGGGGGACGTGAGAAGGAGAAGGCCTTCTCAGAAGGCTCGGAAGTCCCCCGGCCGTCGGAGAAGTTTTCAAAGCCTTCCCCGAAGGCAAACAAAAACTTCTCAGAAGGCGCGAGGGCTTCTGAGAAATCCCGCCGCCTTCTGAGAAGGCCTTCTCCTTCTCATTTCCCCGCTCGCTCGCCGACACAATTACCACATGTTCTGCGATCTTGGGGGCTGGAACGTGCTGAGCGTGTCGCGCCGACGCGTGGGTGGGCCAGAACCTGCGGCGTTCATGACCGTACATCTGCGGCGGGAGAGGGGGGGAGAAAGAAGAGGAGGAGCACGTAATCATAGCAATGACGGGGCAGGCCGTAACTGACGTGGCCAGGCCATCGGGCGCACCCTCGGGGCCACGAGAAAATCCACAGCAGTCTTGGATAAGGATGATGATGGTGATGATGGTGATGATCATCATGGTGGTGGTGATGTCGATGACGATGATGCGGCTGATGATGATAAAGATGGCGATGGTGATGACGATGGTGATGCTGATAATGATGATACTGCTGCTGATGATGCTGATGATGATGCTGCTGATGCTGCCGCCGCTGAGGCGGAGAAGGAGGAGGATAATAATGAGGCGCAGATACTGATGATACGCAGGAGGGTAAGGAGGCGGAGGAGGCGGCGGCGGAGGAGGAGGAGGACGCAGAGGAGCAAAGGGGGGACGATGATGATTTCTTCGTTCTCCCCCCGAGTGTGCCGGCGACCTGCACGGCCAGCGCCCCCTCGCCCCCTCCAAGGGCTAGGAGATAAGCGTCTCGGAGGTGCTGGCTTGTGGGGGGCGGAGAAAAGGACGAAGGAAAAGAGTAGGAGAGGGAGGAGGAGGACAAGGAGGAGGATTTTCCACTTGACACTTCCCAACAACTGTGAACTGAAGGGTGATGTTCACTCCGCGACCTCTAGTGGCATGGCCTCGATACCAATCCTTTTGAGCTTGGGGGGGAAATCAGGTTTCATCAATCAACAGCGATCCATGCCATTGCGTCCAGTAGAACGGGGATCGCACACACACGACTGAGACGATACACTCTCCCGAGACAGGTATAGGTGTTACACTTGAGACACACGAAAAGCGGCGAATTAGCAGTACATTGCAAGGCAAAGTGGAGCCGATGGCCCAAATCCGACATCTCTTGCACAACTGGAGGCGGCTCCCTCCGGCATCCGTCAGGAGGAGGACGCAACTCCGAACGACGAAAAGGCAACAGAAACAGCGCCAGACACCGCGGTACCACTCCCACTGATCGTCAAAGGGGGACTCAGGAGGACGAGGAGGGGGATTTGGAGTGGCACGCGCGACATTGCTTGAACATCCAGCTTGGGCCAGCTGCGGAGCGCTGATGCAGCAACTCGTCAAACAGCTCTGGCAGTGCGACCGATGCGATCGACCTGGGCCAATTCCTCTCCACGTTGCTGCGGGTGGAGAAGACACCCCTGCTTGGCAGCTCTGTCGGCATCGTTATTGCCAAGCATGAGAAACCTGGCGTCGGTCGACAAGACTGGTGAGTCAGCCACGTGGGCCTTCACCTTGTGTACTTTCCTCCAGTGGGGAGAAGATGAAACCAAACACATCACTGCCTGAATACTTCTTGTTGTGTGAACGCCTGGCAGACTTGGGAGCTGCGTGGGCCTTGGCGACCCTTGAGCAATCTGCATGGCCCTCCGTGGGGCCTGAGAGGCATTGGGCAGCGACCGAGTAGGCGCTGTACTCTGCAGCCTGAGACGTTTGGCGAAAAAGCCGACTGACCGTCCTCGAGACTGACGATCTGATGTTCCCTCTCGCGTCCACGGAAACAACCTCCCAGCCCGCCCTAAGCAGCTCCTTGATAACATGCTCATTCGCGGAACCATCCCAGAAAACGTGCCCCTCAACATCGAGAGGACCAGGATGGGACCCAGGGACTTCAGCCGAAACGTGAAAGATCTTGCCTTCAGAGCAAGGCTGAGCAAGGCCGTAGTAAACAGTCCCCTGGGTGAAGGGAAATGCCCATGGACGAATATCGCTGTTCATGGGCGTCACCTTCTCGCATGACTTGCTCGCGTCGCGCGCAGAGGCCTGCTCGTCGTATGCGCGGGGGCACTCCCGAAGCAGGTGGAGGAGCCAGTCAGGAGCAGTCTAACACAGAGGGCAGCGGTCGCACAGAAGCTCGTACCCGTGCTCGATGCTGCGGTCCGTAGTCCAGGTCCCATCGCACGCGAGCACACGACTGCAACCTCTCTGGGGCGGGGTGCCAGCAGATCTGCGAAGCTCTGAGGCTACGACGTCGAGGCAAACCTTACCCATCCCGAGCTTGTCCCCTACCGCCCTCTGGTGGGTCCTGATCCCACCGTCGAACAGTGGGTCGGCAACAAGCGCGGGGGAGCATGTGGTAAGAGGCACCTCGACGCCGAGGTCGGCGGTGAGGATGTGCCGCACTTTCATGGACCACCCGACCCTCTAGAGGGAGAGACGCATGGCCTCCAGGGGCCCCTTACCTTGCCTCCAAGCGCCCATGGGGGCGCCCTCGAACGCCGCTCTCCAAGCTTCACATAAAACCCCAAATAAAAGGACACGATCCGACAACATAACCTACGATACGAAAACTTCCTTGGGAATTCGCAGGATGGGGGCGACGACGGCACGCGAGGTGGGGTCCTGGTAGAGGATGGGGAGGGAGATGGTGGAGCGTTGCCTCGAAGAGGGTTTCAGACTGGAGGCGAGGGCTTGACGAGCTGCTGTCAACTCGTAATCCGACGTGCCATGCGTGTCGACATCGTACCCTAGACCAGCAAGAGGCCCCGCAGTAAAGATGCGGCACGCGCGTCTCCCCAGCATGCGCTTGCGCCTGGGAAGCGTGCCTTTGCTTACATATACGGCACCCGTGACATATTCCTGCCCCCTCTTCCCAGTCTCCCGCCGCGGTCTCTCGTCCACGTCCAGGTCAGCGGCGGCATCCTCGGGCGTGCCAGCGAGCGGGCCTGACGCATGCTTGATGCGAACACCGTGGGAGGGAGACGAACGGATTCCAGAAACACTGCCCAGAAATGATACATCCCATATCTTCCGTAACGCCATGATGCAGGTGCGTGGCCGCGTCGGCTACCGCGCTGACAATGGAGCGCGGACGTGACTGATACCCGTGATCATCGATATAGACATCCAGACCCTTCTGCACCCTGGGGGCGAGGAGGTCGAGAGAGGGAAGGATGTAGGCGCGCGCAAAGCTGGTGGCTGCAGAGCAGCCAGCAAACACACCGTTCAAAGCATGAAGAGGTCCTTGGACCATGGAGCCGAGCGCGGTCTTCGATGCATCTTGATGCAGACTGGCGCCAGCTGCGGCGGGAAGCTCAGGTGCTTGCAGCAAGCGAACAGTTTATCCAAGCATATTGTCTCGAAAAACTTGGCGAGGTCCCAGAGCATGCTGCAATGCACCCGTAGATTGACTGCCGCGCTCTCCGCTGGCAGGGCCCACCTCCAGACGACCTCTCCTGTGCCTGCAAAATCGCCGAGGCAGAGAGATGCGGGCGGCGCGCGCTGGCCTCCCGTACTTGGAGGACTGGCCGCCGCAGCCGTCCCGATGTACGGTGAGAGGCAGCAGATATACCTGTAGGTCTCCACCCACGCGCTGGTTTTACAAAGGGGGCAGCATTGAGAGCCCGAATTTGGTTGGGAATCAAGCCGGCGCTTTCCATGACAGACGGGAGGGTCATGAAGGCCTGGAGGGACACGTCGCTAACGGAATTGGAGTGGCGCATGTGAAACCCATCCGCCCCCGCAGCCGAAGCCATCTTGTAAGACCGCGACGCCTGCCGAATGGAATCGGGGGGGGGGTCCGAGGGAGGGGGCCAAGAAACTTACCGAAACCGAGCTGTCGAGAAGGGAGGGGGCCTTCCGCGGTCCCGAGAACCTGGCGCACTCGTTCTTGGGGAGATTTTTCGGGTCAGCTACAACCTTGCCCTTGGAAGAAACAGTGTGGGTGGAGGCCCAGTCGGTGGGGGGATCCACTCCAAATGTGGGCGCGCTTGCCCCCCCCGCCTTCGATGCCGCCGCGCAGCCACTATCTCCAACGCGCGGCGGCCTCCGCTCGCGCCGTGGCAGCGTGCGCTCCGAGCACGTCGCTGACCTTCTCTAAGATCTCGCGGCCAGTGTCCATCCACAGGCAGTCCTGGGTAAACGTTCCAACGCTGATGGGCGCCACAAAATCACTGACTCGTTGAACCGATGGGGGCGAAGAGGTGAAGGTGATCCCGAAAGTCGCGTGGTGGAGAAGAAAGAAGTTCGGCAGTGCCACCAACCTGGCTCCAGCGATCGTTCGTGGCAAAAACAAGCAACGCGCCCAAGCTGCACTCCATCTAGCGCAGCGCGTAGAAGGCGGGCTGACGAGGCTTGCGGCATTTGTCTTGTTCCAACACCGACCTCCAAACGAGCTTTGACACCTTGCCACGAGTGCCGTGAATGGGAAGCTGCATCTGGCACGCCCACTCAAGCTCACCGTCGAACTGATTGGCCCAAAACTTGCGCAACACATTAATGTGTCTTTGGGTGGAAGATCGCGGTCCCCCCCGGAGCGAACGAGCATGAGGGCGTGCTCGGCGCGGTCCAGAGACTCACTTCAACTGGCAACGCGATGGGCGGGCCCGACGGGGAGGGGGGCGGGCGTGTGTGGGGGAGGGGTGCAAAGCTCAGCACCTGAAGGTCGGCAAAAGATTGATGAAACCTGGCGCGGACGGGCCGGCGGGGGCAGGTGTCCGCCGTCCGCGCGACCGAAGTGCCAGCGAGACCTTTGCCTAACCCTGGGCTGCGCACAAAGTAGTCAATCAGGTTACCGCCGCCAGCGGCAGTGCTGGCGCAGGAGATAGCGTCCTGAGAAAACGCGAGGTGAGCCGACAGGGCGGTCGGAAAATCGCATTCCGAAAACTCTTCAGGGGCATTTTGAAGTCTCCCTGGGTCTCCCCAGACCCAGTAGGGGGGGGAAGGGGGAGGGCAGGAACTGAGAAGGGCTCCCGCCTGAGCGAAGATACAGACGTTGAGATCCGAGAGTCCTTCTCCGTCTCTGAGGCAGAGGGGGCAGCGTGGGACAGTGACTCTGCCAGGTACCTCGAAACGACAAAGTGTAGCTCGACCTGGGTATGATTCATGGCCCTGGGTGATTTCCCACCAGCCGATCCACTCCCGAACCATAATCGCCTTACCACCAGACGTGCCTCCCTCAGGCATGGCCAGGGCAGGAGAAATTCGAGACATCCAGCCGTGGCGACAAGCCCAGGCCGAAGCCTCCTCGATTGATGTCTTGCTAGCCAAGTGATGCTCCTGGATGAGGATGTGAGCGGGGATTGAAACATCCAGGGCTTTGCAGACGTCCAACTGGATGAAAGAACGGTTCCAAAAACGAGCTCAACATTGTCAAGGCCCAGGTGGGCTGGGGTTCTGAGGACACTGTTAATCTTCTGGGTAGAACAATCCAGGGGGCCGTTCAACAAGTATCACCCTGGCTAGTTGTGAATGAAGGTTGGGCTTGGCTCAAGCGATTAAATCCCCTTCCAGGGTTCTGACTGCTCAGGGGGGGGCACCAGTGACTGCTGCTTGTCAGCAGCCAGCGAGAGCTTGGCACGCTCGCGGAGGTCGTTGGCAGCGGGGGTCCGAGAGTCATCTGGGGGCGCTGCAGCACCACAGGCGGCCGCGGTGCTGCTGGAATCCGGTGCTTCTCCTTCTCCTGGGGCAGCACCTTTACCCCCGCTCTTGTCGACAACCTTCCTCTTCTTGATGGAGAGACAGACATGGTCCTCACGTCGAGCTATCTTGGCTTCGTAGAGCGCGCGGACCAAATACTTGTACAACGTAGGTGCGAGGAGTTGAACACCATTGAGCACGTCCTTCTGTTTGCTCTGAAACCAATTGAATATCATCGGGCGAGAAATTGTACTCCGCCGATGGGACACCGAGTATTCGTCCCCTTTAACAATCGAAATCTCCAACAGCATCCCTTCAGGTTTGTCACGCACGTTAATCTGGGTGGCCGTCCTCTGAGCAGGCTAACCCTGACCACGGCAAACTGTAGAGTGGAGCTGGCTGATGAGGTCGGGGTGGATGGCGCCCTGGGCCTCCAGCTCCTGCTGAAGGGCGAGAACGTCTGCACGCTTCTTGTCCAATCAAGTACGAGCTTGTTCCACGTCGTCCAACGCCTTCTCGAGGCGTCTCTCGATGATCTTGAGCTTCTGGTGTGCATCGTTGGCCTGGCGCTGCAAAGGCTTCGGGGGCGCCCGCCTGTCCTTGGCGCGGATCCTCCCGAGCGCCGCGCTGCAGGCGCCAAGGCTCTGCTGGTCGCCGTGCTTGGTAGCGATGCCGATGAGTTGCTCCACCTCTTCGGCCGAGTAGTCATCGAACTTGCATGCACCTGGACTCTGGCCGTGGGCGGCAGCGAGCTGCCCATCCCGAGGTGGAACGGGCTGCTTGCTGACCGTGATGCTCTGTTCCACATGGGCTCTTACAGTGCTTGCATCTGGGCATGCGCTGATAATTCCCTACCTAGGCTCTGCCTAGAAGGGTTCTTACTCTCTTAGCTTAAAGGGGCCGGGCAGTGGAACACGCCCCGGGCGGTTCCCCCAGTCCCCTGGGAGCGGTTCCCCCCAGTCCCCTGGGAGCTTTAGCTTTAGCTTTAGCTTTAGCTTTAGCTTAGCTTTAGCTTAGCTGTAGCTTAGCGTTTCGCTTAGCGTTTCGCTTAGCGTTTAGCTTAGCGTTTAGCTTAGCTTGAGCTTAGCTGTAGCTTAGCTTTAGCTTAGCTTTAACTTAGCTTTAGCTTAGCTTTAGCTTAGCTGTAGCTTAGCTTTAGCTTAGCTGTTGCCCAGCTTTAGCTTAGCTTTAGCTTAGCTTTAGCTTAGCTGTGGCTTAGCTGTGGCTTAGCTTTAGCTTAGCTTTAGCTTAGCGTTACTCTTACTACTAATGCTGCTTTCCTAGGGGTTCCAACTCCTAGGTAGGGTCGCACTGGGAATTTTTTTCTGCAGCCACACTCAAGGAACATGCATGCCCAATGTCCCGCACCCGCTGTTCCATCTCCGCCGTACCCCGGACCATCACCACGAGGAGGAACACCACCTTAATACGTTGGCCTACGGGCCCAGGAGGACCACTGAGGCATGTAGGGTTGCTGCGCGAACTGCTGCTGATACTGGTACGGCGAGGACCACGCTGGGGAAGGGTCCCATAGAATAGGTTTCGCTGGGCCATCGCGCCTCTTGGGCCAGCATGGCTACAGAGGAGGAGGAGGACGAGCAGGAGGTCGAGGAAGAGGAGGAGAAGGAAGAGGAGGAAGAAGAGGTGGTGACGGAGGAGGAGGAGGAGGAAGAGGAAGAGGAGGAGGAGGAGGAGGAGGGGGAGGAGGAGCAGGAGGAGCAGGTGAGGGAGGATGTGGAGGAGGAGGAGGAGAAGGAGGAGGATGAGGCGGAGGAGGAGGAGGAAGAGGAGTACAGATGACGACGACGACGACGATGATGAGGAACAGAGAGGCGACACAGGAAAAGGACGAGGAGACCGAGGAAGGAGGTGAAGCCGCCCTGCGAGAGACGCGGGCCGCTCTCCGCGCGGAGGCCTCTTCAGCGGAGCGTCTTCTTCTCCTTCCCCTCCCTCTCCCGTGGACGACGAAGAGGAGGAGGAGGAGGAGGAGGAGGAGGAGGAGGAGGAGGAGGAGGAGAAGGCGGGTGAGGAACACGCATGAGTGGGGTGGAAGTGGGGGGGAACACTGGTGGAGGAGGTGGAGCGATGGCTGCGCATTAAAGGCAGGAGAAGGAAGAGGGGAGGAGGGACCAGTGGAGCCTCCTCCTCCATTCCTGTCGCGCCCCCCCAGGCGTGTCGGCAAGGCGGGCCAGGCGTTTCGCCTGAGGCCCCTCGCCATCCATGACCCTGGCACTTCAAACTTGCAACAGTTTCGAAGGCGGGGTTGGGTGGTTTTCAGCATATGGCTCTCATTCGTTGCAACATGTTGCAGCAGCTTCATAGATGGAGGGCTGCTCCTTTTCAACTCTGGGCTCTCGCATTCGCGCGGCGCGCGGTCGTCCCAATCACTTGCGGGAGTGACACGGATTGGGGGGTGCGGCTCCTTTTCAAATTGGTTTTCGCTTGGGGCTTCTTACGCGCTTGAAGCCATACTTTGAACCTGTGCAACAGATGCGCGCTCGAAGGGCGGTGTCATTTTCACACTTTGGCGTTTGCTTGGAATGCCACCGAAAAAGATGAGAACAGCTTGAGCGCATGGTCCAGCTGCACGGATGGAGGTCGGCTCCTTTCCAGAAGGGGCCCTTCGCTTCAGACGTCCTCGGCGCTAATGGTCAGGTATGGAAGCGGTGCAAGCGTTACGCAGACGGGGCGGTGTTATTTCAAGGGGATATCACCAGACGCTTTGTTGAGCTATTTGATCGCACTTCTGTGCGCTCCTTGTTACTCATCGGAAGGCTGCACGGCAGATAATTCCTGTACGCAGCTGGTCTCTCGCCTGAATGGCAGGCCCACCGGGTGCTGGTCTTTCAAGCGGGCGCTTCTTGAAGTGGAAAGAGGGGGACTCCTGAGGGGGCTTGGGGCGGGAGGGCGTACTGCAACCTCATTGACGCATCTTGGGTTTACTCTTGCCCTCCTTCCCCTCCTCCTGCTGATCCGTTGAAGATGGCATGGGAGTTGTACAGCCGCCGTACCGACGATGCCTTCTCCCTCCTCCTCCTCCTCCTCCTCCTCTTCCTCCTCCTCCTCCTGCTCTTCCTTTTCCTCTTCCTCTTCTTCTTCTTCCTCCTCCTCCTCCTCCTCCTCTCCTCCTCCTCTCCTCCTCCTCCTCCTCCTCCTCCTCGTCCTTCCTCCTCTCCTCCTCCTTCTCCTCCTCCTCCCTTCTCCTCTCTCTTCCTCCCCCCCTCCCTCCCCCCCTCCTCCCTTCCCCCCTCCCTCCCCTCCCCCTCCCCCTCCCTCCCCCTCCCCCCCTCCCTTCCCCTCTCCCCTTTTACTTCCTCCCTCTCTCCTTCCTATCCCCCCCCCTGGCGTGGGGCACTCGGCGTGGGGCACTCGGAGGGGGGTGCGCTCCGCCAGCCATACAGCCATACAAGACTATTCGCCCCCCCCCGCCCGCGGTGGCTGCCGCGGCGACCCGCGCCAACCCCGCCGCCGTCGCGGCCGAGACGGCGGCCGCCGCGGCGGCCTCCGCGGAGGTCGGCAAGAGAATTCAGCCTATATTCGCCAGCCTATATTCGCCTAGGTTCACTTAGATTCTCGCCTCGGGCGGCGACCGCCGCCGCCGAGGGCTCGGAGGGCGCCCCTGGCGGGCGGAGGCCGCCCGCGGCCGCCGCCGCCGCCAAGGCGGCGCCCGCCGACCGCCGACCGCGCCCGCCGACCGCCGACCGCGCCCCCCGCGGGCGCCGCCGGCTACTCGGCCTCTGGCGGATCCGCCTCGGTGGCGCCAGCGGGGGCGCCCTGCCCGCGGCGCGCGCGAGCCCCGGCGGCCGAGGTGGCGCTGGCGGGAGACTCCCGGGTGCGGGCGGGCCGCCCTCGGTCTTGGACTGAGGCGAAGCCAGGACGAGGATATAAAATGGGGTGAGCATAGATTGGGAATCTCTGAGATCCCGCGGCTCTGGAGGATGTATCGAGCGTCGCGGCCTCCTCAGAGCGTTTCGGAACGCTCTGAAAGCGTTCAGGACCGCTCTGGAACGGGCTTCTTTTCGTCCTAGCCCCGTCTGGTGGACCAGGGTGATGTCAGGATAAGATTTGCTCAGGGTGCGCTTCGGGATTTCTGGAACTCTGGAGTCTCAGGATTATTGCTCATCGCTGCCTGCAGGAGAGGTTGCTGATCGATTGCATGATTACTGCTGGTCGCTCAGGAAGACCCCTGAATCGCGGGCAAGATCGCTGGTAAGATTTGTCAGGTTGCGCTTATGTCAGGAGTTTCTGGCGGCCCTCACTTCTGGAGTCCGTGTGGAACATCAGGGAACCTGGAAAATATGGGGCACCTTCGAGATCTTGGAACGTATCAGTATCCTTGGTGAGCCCTAAAGGCGGTGCGATGGGGGTAAAAGACGAAGAGTGAAGTGACGGTGCTTTCCTTCTTTATGGGTGGCGGTGCTGGGGGCCCTGTGCGCAAGGCCCCTGCCACTCCCAGGAACTTGATGCCCCCAGGTGGATGTGGGCGGGTTACTCAGAAACGGCCGAGCGCCTGCGCCTCATGGCCACAGACGTCGGAGAGGAAAGAGGATACACATTCGTGTTGGCACAAGGGGGCGTATCCGGACTTCTTGCTCCTCTGACTCAGTGCACGCAAGGGTGGCCCAACGCCGGCGGCAGCCGGCCGCGCGCAAGCGTTGCGAGGCCCTTCCTCTGGTTCTTGGAGGCTTTCTCACCTCGGGGTGCTCTCCAGCAGCTGCGTCTCGCAGAGAGCGACCCCGGTGTGCCCGAGGCCCGAGTTATGGCCCGAGAGCCACCAAGCCCAGCAAGAGTGACCTTTCGTGCGCAGCCATGGTGAGGGGCAACGCTAGGGAGGGATTGGCTCAGGGGGGCGGAAACATCGAGCTGGCATCGGCGATACATCTCCGATAGATCGGCGATGGGAGCCCGACAACGAATCCGGAATTCCTGGGCGGGGCGGGCTGTCAAGCCAGCATCGGCGATCCATGGGCGATTGGGGGTCGATGCGTCTCCCCTTGAGCCTTCCCCTCCCCCTGACGTTGCCCCTGCTGCTGTCGCATCGCATTCGGCGATCGGCGGGTCCCGTGCCACTGCCACTCCGGCGAGGGGTCACTCTGGCGTGGTGTAGCCGCCGCCCTCAGTTCGGGGGTTGCCAGAGCCAGATCGTGTTGTTCAAGCTTGGCGCTCTTCCTTGATTTCGGCCCCCATGGGGCCCTGGGGGCCCACCAAAAACGGTCCTGGGACGAGCAACTGCACCCAGGGATGGGGTCGGGACCCTTGGCCGTGCCTGCCGGGGAGGTCGTCCTGGCCCAAGGTACTCCCAGCTCTTTCCACCGTTGCGGAACCTCCGAATCCACTTTCTGGGCCGTTTTTGGGGTGCCCTGGGGGTCTCGGGCCTCCCTGGACTGGAGATCTCGGGGGCGCCTTGGGCCAGGGACACCTTTCGGCACGGCAGCGACCGATCGAGGCCCAGAAGGGGGAGGACCCAGGACGAGGGAAGGGGAGGGGAGGGAGGGTGCAAAGTCAAGCTAGGTGCGGTCGCGTCATATCCGACGTCCTGCCCCTCCCTCCCATCCCTTACCATGCCGTAGATCTCCTCTCTATTCGCACAATCGGATGTCTTAGCATGGCAAAGCAACATGTCATACTCGGGTGTTGAAGATTCACGCGTAGCATGACATAGCATGGCATGGCGACGCCACAATGTGGGGCGGGGTCTTTTGCGGCACCAGAAATCAACCAATCGACACCGAATGTGTAATCACTTCTGATGGTTTCTTCGGGAGGCCATTTGTTAGATGTTGTGGCCTGTGGGAGGACCGAAAACCATGCCGTGGCATGGCAGTGGAAATAATGACGGGAGAACGATTCGGAACGAGCGGTGGTCCGAAAATGAGGCCAGCGCATCAGCGAGAGCACCATTTTGAACAAGAGCCCAAGCGCAGAAGCGCGGAAATGAGGACGGGTAGCCTGACATAGCATGGCGTGGCGACGCCCCAAAGTAGAGGGCTTCTGCGGCCCAAAACATCAACGAATCGGCACCGAATGTATAATCACTTGAGAAGGCTTGTCTTTGGGTGGCCATTTTTAAAATGTTGGGGCCATTTGGGAGGACCGAGAGACATGCCGTGGCATGGCGCTGGAAATAATGACGCCAACGCTGCAGCGGGAGCACGATTCGGAACGAGCGGTAGCCCGAAAGTGAGGCCAGCGCTTCAGCGAGAGCAGCATTTTGAAAGAAAGCCCAAGCGTGGAAGCGGGGACATGAGGGCGGGTAGCCTGACATGGCATGGCGTGGCGACGCCCCAAAGTGGGGGGGCCTTCTGCGGCCCAAAACATCAGAATCGGTGTATAATCACTTGCGTTTTTTTTTTGGGGGGGGGGCATTTTTTAAATGTTGGGGCTATTTGGGAGGACCGAGAGATATGCCGTGGCATGGCGCTGGAAATAATGACGCCAACGCTGCAGCGGGAACACGATTCGGAACGAGCGGAAGCGCGGAAATGAGACGAGCGCTGCCGTGGGAGCACGATTCGGAACGAGCGGTAGCCCGAACATGTGGCCAACGCTCCAACGACAGCAAAATGTCGAAAACAAACCCAAGCGACAACCCAACTCCTGGGAAGCCGGTGTTAAAAACAAACCAGTACGCGGAGGGGGGCCGAAAAATCCGCGGACGCCACCAGGGGAGAGAGGAGAGTAGTATTTACATTGCTTAATTGTGGTCGGGGACGACGACGACGCCGACGACGACGACGAGCAGCGACGACGACGACGACGACGAGCAGCGACGACGACGACGACGAGCAACGACGGCGAAGCGGTGTCATGCCGGGGGAAGGGTGCGATGGGAGGGCGCAGAACGGAGGGAGGGCGAGGGGACGGGGAGGAGCAAGCCCTTCGCCTGCGGACCGCATCGGCGCCGGTGCTCGTCATCGTTGTCGTCGTCGTCGTCGTCGTCGTCGTCGCTAGTCGTCGTCCGTCAGTCGTCGTCGTTCCTTGTCGTCTACGGTCTGCGGTACTGGACGTCGTCGTCGTCGTCGTCGTCGGCATCTGTGTCGTCATTCCTCATCGTCGTTGCCGTCTTCGTGGTTGTCGTCATCACCCGCTCATTAGGGTCCGCCCGCCTCACCAGCCAATGAAACTTCGCCCGCTCGTGTGTTTGAAAACCTGCCCGAACCGTCTGTCAGCGTCCGCCCGCCTGGCTCTGACTGTCAGGGTTTGCTCGTTCGTTTGTTTGAAAGCCCGCTAACCAGCTCTGATGCTCTGCCCGCCCGACCCGCCCGTCAAGGTCCACCCGCGCTGCCCGCCCGTTAAGATCCGCTTGCCCGACCCGCCCGTCAGGGTTTGCCCGCCTTCGCGTTAGGGTTGCCTCGACGCGGACACCCTCGAGGAGACGAGGGCACCGACAAGGGCGATGACGACGACATGCACGTCGGCGGGCACGAGGACGTCGACGAGGACGAGGACGACGAGGACGAGGACGACTGGGGGCAACTGGCGAAGCGGTCCGAAGGCGACGCGGTCCGCGGGCGAGGGGACTCGGGGCGAAGGGAATCGGGGCGAAACGGTGTGGGCCGAAGCGATCCTGGTGCGAAGTGGTCTAGTGCCGGGGGCCGGGGGAGGGGGGGAAGGGGCAGGGTGGAGGGAGCAGAGACAGGGCGGAAGGGCAGAGTGGAGGGAGGCTGGAGGACGCAAAGGGGGTCCGATGATGAGGTGGGTGAGGAGGAGGACGGGAGCAGGCCCAGGATGCATCGAGGATGCAACGATGCGCCCTCCCTTTCCCGAGCCCGCGCCTCACCTGTCCCTTCACGAGATCCTTTTCCGCTGTGGGCAAAGACCCCCGCTGGAAACACCAACGGCCCGTGGGCCTGCCGTTCAGGCGAGTGCCTGTTCGAACTGCAAGTGCGTACTTGTCATACAAACAAAACATGCGAGCCACCGTGGACCACAAGCAACACGTGTTGTAGCAATCTATGGTGTACACGCTTATGTAAAGCAACCGGTGTGGTGCAAATCCATGTGTTGCAGCTGATTTATACAAACGGGTTGACATATTCCATGCCCTTGCAAACATCCCACTCACCCACCCGCAACTCGGTTTGACAAAACCCATGCGGTGGCGATTGCGGTGAGTACTCAGCATTGGCTGGTGCATCTCGACCGACGTGGCCGCGGTGGCGTTGACCGCTGGGCACTTCCCAGCGGGCATTTCAATGCGAGTCGGTGGCTTGGGTGGGCGCGGTATCATGGCGACGCCGACAACGGTAGCCACGACTATGGGAGTAGCGATGATGGTGACGATGGTGGCGATGAGGACGGCAAGGCTAATGACGGCGCCGACGCTGATCACGCCCACCGATAACGATGACGATGTCGTCGCGTCGGCGATGAAGGCTTTGAAGGAGTTCGACATGCGCACGGCCGACGAGCCCGAATGACCTGCGTAGTATGATTGGACACGGATCGTGCCCCCCAAGCACGCGCGCAAGGGCGCTCGAATGAGTGCGGCATGCGGCACGCGAGGCCCGCTTGGCAGAATTCGAACGACATGTTGGAAAACCGGTGGTTTCCTTAAAACTCCGCACGGCCGCGTTCGCAAATTATGTTGTGAAGAATGGTGTTGCAAAATTCGATATGTGCTCGGGACAATCGTCTTCGATATCCGCACGAAGCCAAAAATTTTTGAAGGATTCCGAAATGCACGCGCGACAGCGCGTGAGTACGCAATTCGTCCCGTTTGTTGGAAGGGGTTCTTGCGAGAGCACGCGCGCAAGGGCGTTCGAAAGACTTCGACATGCGCGCGCGAGAGGCTAGTTCGGAAGCATTTGATGA